TACGATTGCCCAGTTGCGGCACAAATGGCAGTACAAAAAGAAAACGGCCTATGGTGTGAAAACAGAGCACTAAAAGTAAAACAAGCAGATTTTGAGAAGGACCAGGGGGCAAAACCAAGATTACCATATGTCAAAGAGGTAAGAAAGGAAGAAAAGTCAACTTATGCAACTGTTAATCTGAAAAATATAAAGAAATCATATACTTAGGTGGTAGATAAAGGGAGGAGGAGAGAGTACACAAGTTTAACCATAAGAGCTTATGAAGAAGGAAATGGATGGTTGTATGAGAGTGCAATTGTTTGGTTGAAACCGAAATGCTCGGAGGAGGATTTTAGGAAGGAATTAACTAAGAGTGAGGTGAGGACTGTTAAAGTCACAAAAGCAGGTGGAAGGGATATAGTTGTATCTTTTCAATCAGTTCAAGAGAAGAAAGAAAAGCTCAGCAAGATGAGTGGCTGGATTAAGGAGTGGTGTGAATCAATCAAGGAATGGAAAAAAGGAATGGTCATTGAACAAGAAAGATGTGTTTGGCTGTGTTGTTGTGGAGTGCCTTTAAATCTCTGGAACAACAAAACCTTCAGCAGTATAGGAAGAGTATGGGGAGAAATTATTGAGGTTGATAATGAAACTCTTAGTATGAACAATTTACAATGTGGAAGGATAAGAATTGCAACCACATATATGGAATCTATCAATAAAACAATGAATATCGACTGCCAAGGAACTCTATATCCAATGAAAGTGTGCGAGGAACAAATTATTACCAAGGTGGTGATAAGGAAGGTATGCAAATGCCATAAGAAGCATGATGATGAAGATGTTTACAGTTCATATGAGCCAGAAGATTAGCAGAAATCAGAACAGAGGAACAACTGGGGCAATAATGAAGATGATGAGGTGGATATCCAGCAAGATGATGAGTTGGATAACATGAATGACATGGCATTCGAAGAAAAGAGAAGAGAGCATGTAGATAGAGCTGACATGAAAGGCAGAGACAAAGATTTGAATGTTTCACTGGTAGAGGAGACTGTCAGCAACTTGGAAAAATCAAACAGTAGGGAGCACGAGCAGGCGTGATGATGACTATGCATGAAAAGAAGTAGAAAGAGCAGGGGGTTGATCAAATAATCGATAGAGAGGTAATGACATTAGGTTTTATGAAAAGTTTGAGTGGGTCTATTCAATCCATACTTGGGTTGAATCTTGAAGTGGTTCTAAACAAGGCCCATGAACAGAACTGTGATATGGGCCATGGTAGTGGTGTTGTTGCCCAACCCAACTATTCTGATTCAAATCAGGTTATCAGTAACATTTTGAACCAAGCCCAAACTGTAGAGAAGCAACAGTCAAACAAAAAGGAAACACGAGGAGATGCCTCAAGATCTTATCAAGTAAGAAAAGCTAGCAGAAAAGAAAAAGCAAAAAGGGTTTCAGGTCATTATTTTAACCAGAAGGACAAACTCCAGATTGGGAAAAATAGGAAAGAATTGCCGATGAATTTGAAGAAAGGGGCTGTTTTCAGGGCAGCAGTAGCAGCAATTTCACTCTTCATGTCAAGTTAGTCAAGAAGAAGGGTCCTTAATGAAGCTGAAACAAATTTGCAACTCAGTAGAGTCCTAGGGAGGGACGGCAATGGAAAAGACGAAGAGATGATAAGCAAACTTAATGAAGCTGAAACAACCCTGCAGCTCAGTAGGGTCCTCGGGTTAGACTGCAATGGAAAGGAAAATGAGATCATAAGTAAACTAGTGGAGCTGGAAGAGAGAGATATTGAAAAGCTTAAGGAGATGGAGGGTAATGCTAACTGAATAGCATCCCTAGAAGGTATAGGGAGTTATGGTAAGTTTGAAATGAAGCTATTATCTTGGAATGTTAGGGGCTTGGGGAAGTCAATTAAAAGGAGGAGGATCAAAAAGGTGCTCTTTGACAATAAAGTTGATATGGTGCTACTGCAAGAGACTAAGAAAGTTGTCAGTAATGAAAAATTAGCTGGGTCAATTTGGCCAGGAGACAAGATGGATTTTATGGCAGTGGATTCAGAAGGAGCTGCCGGAGGCTTACTTTGTGTTTGGAATCCAGAAGTGTTTCAACTCAAAGATTGTTGCTGCAATAAAAATTTCATTCTCTTATTAGGTACTCTTTATCATAATTTTGAGTGTGTGGTGGTAAATTTCTATGGTCCTAATGATGCAAGGAAAAGGAAAGAGGTGTGGGATATCCTGTTAAATATTAAAGTATTATATCCTAACCCTTGGTGTGTGGGGGGAGATTTCAATGAGATCAAAAGAATATCAAAAAGAAAAGGTTGCTCTAGAATAGATAAAGGGATGAGAGATTTCAATGAAATGATTGACCAATTAGAGCTAACTGAATTACCAATGTTTGGAAGGAATTTCACCGGGGGTAATTCTTAGGAAGAGGAAAGGTGGAGTAGATTAGATAGATTTCTCCTAAACCCAGACTGGTTGTGTAATTTTAACTTCAAATTGTGGAGTCTTCCTAGAAGGTTTTCAGATCATAGTCCTATTCTACTGATGGAAGATGAGAGGGACTGGGGCCCTAGACCCTTTAAATTTATTAATGCTTGGCTTTTTCATCCAAGTTTCATGAAGGTACAACAATGCTAGTCAGAAACAATGATAGATGGTTGGGCTGGGTTTAAGTGTTTGAAAAAATTGAAAGCTTTGAAAGCTACATTAAAGCAGTGGAACAATGAAGTCTTTGGTATTGTTGAATTCAAACTGAAACAAGTTGAAGAGGAAGTTCATGCTTTAGATTTACTGGCTGAAGAAGGGTTATTATCATCATTACAGGTTGCTAGGAAAAGGGAGGCAAAAAAGGAAGCATGGAAACTAAGCAAAATGGTAGAGTGGGTATGGCTTCAGAAATCAAGGCTGAATTGGGCAATTAAAGGTGATCAAAATACGAAGTTTTTCCACATTATGGCATGTAGTAGAAAGACCATGAATGCCTTATGCTCTATTTTGATCAATGCCTCTGTTGTAGAGTATCCTCAAGATGTTAGGGCTACTTTACAAAATCATTTCTTCACTCTTTTTTCAGACTCTTGGTATAGCAGGCCAGGGTTGTTAGGTTCTTTTAAAACCATTGGAGAAGATCAAAGTGCATAACTGTTGGAATCACATTTTTCAGAATCTAAAGTGAAGGCAGCAATTAAGAATTGTGAGGGTAATAAGGCTCCTGGCCCAAATAGGTTTAATCTTAACATGTTTCAGAAATGCTGGAATATTATCAAAGGGGATGTTCTTCAATTTATGAATGAATTTCACCAGAATGGGAAATTGGTTCGGGTATTAACAGCTCTTTTATAGCTTTGATCCAAAAAAATGAAAATCCATCTAGCTTTGCAAAATATAGGCCCATCAACCTTATTGGTTCCTTGTATAAGATCCTTGCTAAGGTACTTTCCAATAGAATAAAGAAAGTCATGCCTAGAATAATCAGTGATACACAGTCTGCTTTTATAGGGGGCAAAAATATTTTGGATAGGATATTGATTGCAAATGAGGTTGTTGATGGGTGGAAGGACAGAAAAAAGGGGATAATTCTGAAACTTGATTTTGAAAAAGCATACGACTCAGTAAATTGTGGGTTTTTATTCTCAATGCTATCCAATTTTGGATTTGGTGCTAAGTGGATGAGCTAGATAAAAGAATGTGTAACTTCAGCAAATATTTCTATTTTGGTGAATGGTTCTCCAACTTCTAAGTTTAAACCATAGAGAGGGCTCAAGCAAGGAGACCCGTTATCACCTTTTCTTTTTAATATAGTGGCGGAAGGTCTTAACATTTTATTAAGTAGGGCAAAACAGCTGGGTTTGATCAAAGGTGCATTAGTGGGTTCTGACCTGAGGATCACGTATTTACAATTTGCAGATGATACTATACTGTTTTGTGAAGCTGAATGGGAGAAGGTTTTAAACATTAAAGGAATACTGCGATGCTTTGAAATTATGTCGGGCCTACAAATCAATTACCATAAGAGTGTGGTGTATGGGGTGGATATTCATTCAGATCTCTGTCAAGAATTTGCTTCCAAATTACACTGCCTTCATCAAACACTACCTTTGAAATACTTGGGATTACCTTTGGGGGCCACTCCTAGTAGAAAGAAAACCTGGCAACCTGTCATAGAAAAGCTTAAATTAAAGCTTGCCTCATGGAAAAGAAGATATTCCTCTCATTTGCAGGTAGACTAACACTAATAAAAGCTGTGTTGTCTAGTTTGCCTATATATTATTTTTCTCTGTTTAGGATGCCATCAGGAGTAACAAAGGAGATTGCTAAAATTCAAGCAGCTTTTCTTTGGGGAGGTTCAAATCTTAAAAGAAAAATTCATTTGGTTAAATGGGGTGATGTTACTCTTAGTAAAAGTTAAGGAGGGTTGGGTGTGAAAAGAATAGGTTTGGGGCAGAAGAGAAATCCCTTTGGAAGGATGTGATTTGTAAAAAGTACTATGGGTCTATTGATTTGTGGTCACCTGAACTTGTAAGAGTTGGTAAGATGTCCAAAATATGGAAAGATATTGCGGGAATTGTGTTATCTAAACCTGAAGTGCTGGGTTTTTTTCATTCAAATTCTACAATTGTTCTTAGGGATGGTCGGAGGTCAAGGTTTTGGCTTGATAGCTAGGCAAGATCTGGTTGCTTAAAGGATGTGTTTCCTAGACTTTTCTTATTGGCAGTGTTCAAAACTGAATCTGTGTTTTCGGTGAGAAATAGAGTTGGTCAAGATGATTGGAACTCATTGTTTAAAAGGAGTTTGTTCGAGTGGGAAATGGAGGAGTTAGACAAATTGAAGAGATTGTCACATACTGTACCGGAATTAAGGGTTAATGTAACTGATAAACTAAAATGGAATGCGGATTCCTCAGGAGTGTTCACTGTCTCATCAACATACCATTGGTGTAAATCCTCTTTTGGTCCTACTTACAGGGTGACAGAGTGTATTTGGAAGAATGTGGCACCCCCAAAAGTTCAATTCTTTGGCTGGCTTGCTTGGAAGAGAAGGATTAAGACATCTAATTATCTTCAAAGGAAGGGGATTTTGGATAATCATACTAATTTTCATTGTGTGTTCTGCAATGAGGAGGAGGAAACAGACAATCATGTGCTCTTGCATTGCCATTTTGTTTGATTAGTTTGGTCCAAAATTATGAAATGGTGGGGTATTCAATGGGTGATATCAAAATCTATGGATGAGTTGCTACATTGGTGGTCAGGAACAAAATTGAAGAAATTAGAGAAGAAGATTTGGAGAATCACTCCGTTTGCGGTGTTCTGGTCAATATAGAAATTAAGGAATTATTGTATTTTTAACAATGCCCAACCTAGCTTGGAGAAGCTCTGTGATTTGGTCAAAGTGAGAATTGCACTATGGATCAAAGCATCATGCTCAGGATTGTTATTCTCAGTGAATGATATTATCTTTAATATACATCAGGTCAGAATTTGTTCTAGGTGAGAGGCTATCTGGTATGTTTGTTGATTGTTGTATGCTGCTGATTGTTCCAGGTGTATGGTGGTCTGATTTTCTGTTGTATGTTGCTGATTGCTGCTGTGTGGTGCATGGTTTTGGGGGATGCTGTAGTAGTGAATCTCTTGTGTACATCTTAGGAGATGCTGAGTTCTGTGATGGTTGTCTGATAAACTACTGTGATGGTGAATCTCTTGTGTAGATCCTAGGAGCTGCTGAGTTCAGTGCTGAGGCCTGCTTTGTTGTTGTTTTTTGGGATGTTGTAGTGGTGAATCTCTTGTGTAGATCCTAGGAGTTGAGTCCTCTTCTGTTGCTACTGTGTGGTGCTTAGTGGTGAATCTCTTGCGTTGATCCTTGGTGCTGTTGAGTTCAATGTTGTAGCGGTCTGATGTTGTATGCTGGTTGACTAACAGGGGAGCTGAAATGCTGATGCCGCTGGTTTATTGCTTGCTGCATGTGCTGTTTTGCATTATGAACTGATGGGGTTGGTCTGTGATCTACCAACTGCTGTGCTTTGTGATGGCTACTACTGTTATGGTTTGCTGGTGTTCTGTGTAGGCAGTGTTCATGTTGAGTTGGCTACTGCTATTTCTGTTGTTATGGATTGTTGTTTTGTTTTGTCTAGTCAATGATCATTCAACTTGGATGTTGCCGTTGCTTTTCTTTATTTCCCTTACTGTTTGCTAGTTTTGGGTTATATTTTTTGGTTTAGTTTTGGTTAACTTCTGCTTGGGTAAGGTTGGCTTTGGTGTTTGTAGTTGGTTCCTCACTAACTCTCGATGGTATGCTAGCATATGATTGAGCAGTCTTATCGGTGTCAACCTAGTTGGGATTGATTTAGCTCGCTATTATGCTTTTTGCACTCATTCTTCTCTTTTCTTTATTGATGTAATTGTCTTCTATTTCATCAATAAAGTCCCTTTTCTTTGCTAATAAAAAAAATCTGTCTTTATATTTTCAATTGGCTCGAATTTAGAATCCAATAGGAGGGAATCCCATATCCTCATAAAATTGTTTATTAAATTTTATGGAGTATTTTTTGAAAAATTATTAAATACTATCAAAGTATCATTTAATTTTATTTATTTAGTGTTTTTAATTAATGAAGAGTTGTAACACATGTTAAATAGATCATTGTTTATCTCGTATAAATTTTTTTTATGGTAAATTATGCTGACCTCCATTGAGATTTGAAAAAAAAATATTATAAATTTTATAATTTTGATCAATAATTTGTTAGTCATATAGATATAAAAATAATATTGTCATCATTCTCTTCCATTATATATATATATATATATCGTATTTATTTTTGTACCTTTAAACTATTTGCATTAATTTCGGTATTTTTAACATTTCTTAGGTAGTGTTTGGATAATGGTTAAAATAATAATAAAAAATCACTACAAAAAATCGACTATTCTTTTTACTTTTTTACATAAATTTTTGTAAAAAATTAAAAAACTTTCCAAACACTCTTAAAATAGCATCAATATAATTATGTTAAAATGGTAAACTACACATATTTTATCCAAAAATTTCAAGTAAGATCAATGTATTTAGGAAAATGTTATGGTGCATATCCTTCAAAAGATGTGTATCGCATGCACCCTATTATGTTATGTGTTTTGTAGTGCATATAAAGTATTTTTATGATAAATGTTACGTAATTTTTTGGTAGAGTAACAATAATTTGTGATTAAAAAATGATATTACACATTTTGTTGTAACGCTATATATTTTTTTATCCACATATTTCTAACCAAAAAATATGTAACACTACCACAAAAATACGTAATATTATCACAAAATGCGTAACTTAATTTTTGAATAACAAATTGTCGTAACTCTATAAAAATAAAATGCAATTTTTACCACAAAAATATGTAATAAAATACATATGATATACACTTTTTGAAAAATGTGTAACCATAACATCACCATGTAGTTATCCAAATAATTACTCTAGGTTGTTAATGTAAATTTTTACACAAAAATAGCGAGCAGGGAGGTCAAACAAAAAAATTATGAGGGAATTACAATGTGATTCAAACATATAACTATCGAAGGCAAATTATATTGATTTTTTCTTCTCAATGAGTTTTAAAAAGTGAATGGTTTAAATTATCAAAATTAACCTTACAATGAGCCCACTAAGCCTAAATATTTTCTCAAGTTGAATTGTGAACATGAGAGAAGACAAATCCTCCAATAATATATTCAAAGCATCATGCTCAGGATTGTTATTCTCAGTGAATGATATTATCTTTAATATACATCAGGTCAGAATTTGTTCTAGGTGAGAGGCTATCTGGTATGTTTGTTGATTGTTGTATGCTGCTGATTGTTCCAGGTGTATGGTGGTCTGATTTTCTGTTGTATGTTGCTGATTGCTGCTGTGTGGTGCATGGTTTTGGGGTGCTGTAGTAGTGAATCTCTTGTGTCACTGCTGGAAATCAGGGTTTTAGAGGCGTTTAAAAAACGCCGCTATAAGTCCTAAAAACGCCGTCAAATCTTTTTGTGACGTTTAGCACCAAACGCCGAAGATGCAGCTGTCGCTATAACTCTATGGCGCTTCAGAAACGTCGCTATATTACTATAGGCGGCGTTTCGTTTTCTAAAAACGCCGCTAAAAGTTCTACTAATTGTAACATGACGTCACCATGCTATTTAGCGACGTTTTTAAAACGCCGCCGTATCTCTTTTTCCCAACTATTTAGCGACGTTTTTAGATGGTAATCTTCATATGGTCGTTGGAGAGTTATTGAGTTAAGAATAAGTTATCAATGCAAATAAACTCTCTATTTCAAATACAAGAACCAACAAAAAAAATAAAAAAATAAAAAAAAGTCATAACAACTGATAGTAATATTAGTCCTCGGACTACCAGGTCACCAACTAAAGTAGCAAACACCAGACTTTCTTGTTCATCAGCATTCTTCTTTAGATCTGCCAATCTGACGGCACTAACAAAAGCAATCTTGCATACCACCACACATTCTGGATCAGGAGAACCACCAGGGACAAGCTGCATTACGCACAAAATGTTAGAATTGTAGAATACAAAATCAATAGGACTCAGCTTCTCAAACAAAATCAATAGGACACAGACACCATGCAAAAGAAATTTAGGGATTCAAACGACTATTTTGGCAAAAAATCATTACAAGATCTTGAACTTCCATCACAACATAAAAGCAGAATCATAGTACCTATGAATCTTGCTGAAATAAGAAGCTGGTTTGCTCCATCCCACTAATCTAGAGAACTGCAAGGAAATCAATATTTCAGCATGTATAGAAAACCGTTAGCAGTAATAAAACATATCGTACTA